AACACATGTCGAAGGTACTAAGTAAAAATGTTCAGGACCCCCAAAAACCTAACCCTAACAAAGATTTGGACCCTTATGCCTAACCCTAACCTTGGTCTAAAATTGCTCCCTATCTCTAAATTTGATATCGCCACCGGCGATAAATGCTAAAATTCATTTTATTTTATTTTAAATGTAATATTTGTCGTTCCTGTGTTGATTTGCAGTTTTTATATGTATTTAATAACAAGTACGTAGCTTTTATGCATAACTGTTATTATTTTAAAATTGAAAATTAGGTAGTATTAATGATAGTATTCCATTCCTTCCCGAAATAATACAAACTTCAATTGATATAAAAACTAGAAAAGACATTCCTAGAATGGACCCGGCATTTACATATTTATCATAGACCTAATTGTATGTAACTTTAAAAAAATTATTGTACTTGGTGTCCACGCTAATTTGTAAACCTTTAGGTCTAATGTTGCCAATTAGAAATATAGCTCATTGTTGTTGATCAAACAATCTACATCAGAAAATTTTCTTTTAATTATCGTTATTGATTTGTTAGAACGGTGTAACCGATAATGTTCAAAAAAGGACACGGAAATACGTAATTGTTCACATCATACATTTTCTGCGAACGATCGTCCACCGTGTGAATAATTTTTCTATTTTTATAGCATTCGTTTAAACCAAATTGAAGAATAATTTAGTCATTCTTAAATACTGAAAAAAGTTATTGAATATTATTTTTCCGGACTTTCTTTGCGACCACTGGAGTATTAAGCATTATTATTTATTTTATTGATGGCCTAGTGCAATCTTCACGTAAACGCGACTACACCAAAGTTGCACCATCAGATTTTAATATGAACTTTATGATTTTAGCGTTAACATCATAAGAAAATTAGAACTTTTTTGTTTAAAACGGTTAACAATATGAAGGCATTATTTAACTGTTAATGCTGATAAATGACGATGATACTGAGATGGATGATATTGAAATTTGGTGTCTGATTTGAAAATATAAACCTTACTAAAACTGATACTTTTTATTATGAACCCCTAACTCTAACTTTAAACAAATAAGTTCAAATTTCAACATCATCAGATAATAATGCGCTAAATAAATTACAAATTTTACACACGATACTAAATTAGATTCAACCAATCAGATTTCATAAATAGTACCATCTCTGTTTTTCGGAATTAGAATCGAGTAATTCTTAATAAGTATTGCTATCTTTGTTTTTAAAATAAAATTTTATTTTGAAAACTTAATTTTGTGTGGCATTATCTATTATTGTCAAAATTAGATTCCCGTACGTTAATTCTGGAACCCCTTATTGAATCTATTACGCCGAAATCACAAACTTAACCGAATTAGCCGAAAATCATTCTGCTAATTTTTATCAGGTGCTTCAGGACATGGAAACGAACTCAAGGTCGAGAAAGTTTTCGATGAAAATCCGAAAAGATCCAGTTTAAATATTTGGTGTACAAGCTGCTCTTTATGCTAATCGCTTTAATTAAAAGTCGTTATATCAACTTTTAAGGATTAACTTTCAAAACTTCATGAATTTTTGCATGACCTGTTGACCCGAGTTATAATCCGGGTTAATACCTGACCCGCCAGGGTCGGTATTTTCTGACCCGGGTAAGAGCTCTATGTAATGATTCAGTTGGTGAGTAGCATAACTAAAATTATTCAGGCTTATCTACTAGCTAATTTATTTATTCAATGAATGCTAAGGTTTTTTTTACTAATGGGTCTATTTAAAGAAGCAAATCGAGTCTATAGCACTTATTATTACGCCGTATCTTGTATAATTTAATTTTAATTTAGTTCCAATAATCAGTTACATACAACTAGTTAATGTCACTTATCGTGTTGTGTAGTGCAAGCGAATATTTTTTATCAGCAAATAAAAAAGAATATCACTTAGTGCTTTAAAATTATCTTTTGTCAATAGCCAATCAGTTATTTTTATATCATGTGATCTAAATTTTTTTGAAGCGACTTTTCTATATTAAATTCGGTATAATAAAAAATTTCGTTTGTTATATTCATGATATACTTTCAGTTCGCTATTCGTTAGAGTAAGACTTATTATAAAAAATTAAAATTAATTAAATAATTCGCTATAGGACAAAATTCGTAATATAAAAATTCGTTATGTCAAGCTTTAACTGTACTTTTCAATGTTCTATCGATAATTTGGCACTTGTTTTTTCTATATCAATAACTTTATTTTTGCAATAAATCTGATCAGAAATCTATTAACAGCATGATAAAGCATGATAAAGGAGTGAGACAAGTACTTTCCATAGAAGCATGATTTCACGACTTAATTTTTGACAGTGGTTGGCTTATATATTGAAATAATATGAAATTTATAATATGTTTAGTGTATAATATAGAAGTAAAGGTCAACACAGCCGGTGTTGAAGCGTATCCGTCTGGTCGAGCACAGTCATTCGCAGGTGGGCTCCCGATTGGTAATAACGTCCCTGCTATCCAGATAGATGAGCTCAGTCTTTTCCCGACCTTCAACTTAATACCTAGCAGACACTTGCGCAGGGTTTTTCATATTAATCCGCAGAATACAAGTGAATAAGGTCAGTTTTTTCTGCTCGAGTAAGCCGGCTGTGTTTTTATAGCGAAATGAATTTAATCTTACGTGATATTTGACAAGTCGCAAACACTATTAAAAATATGACTAGTTGGAATAAGGGCATGACAGGTGTTTGTTTACGTTTACTTACAGATCGTAATTTTTTTATACAGTATTTGTTGATTGGATCTTGGATTGGCTATATATCACGTGAGTGATACCACGACTTTATTTACTCTTCGAGAAGCTCAAATTTTATTTCGCGTGATTCATTACAAAAATATTTTTGTTAGAATACTTCGCGTCGAGAGAAACAAAAAAGTTTCATTCTAAATCACATAAATCCTCGTCCTTATAATTTTTATGAGAGGTTTAATTATCGTAATCGTTCAAATGCTTATGAACTGCGACTAAACCAGGCTTTGCAAGAAGCTCCACAATCAGAAAAATTATTAAATTTAAAAAGAGGCTGGGAAATGTGCGAATACAATAACGACTGGGTTTGTTATGAGGATGAGAAAAATATCCGGAAAACCGATGTATATTAATTTTTATTTAAACTTTGCAAGCTGAGCTTGGTACTCACAAAACCAACATCAAATAATAGGAAAAAGTAAAAAGAAGGAAACTCAAGGCACACGTTGCATTAATGAAACTTTGGACGAAAGGCTGAACATTAAAAAACCATCTGACAAATTGGTATCATCTTCTAAAGATCATGGTGGAGCTTCAAAGAAAACCACCAATAGACAATTTAAAAACCAAATTGGTAACATTGATAATAAGGAGAATGAGGAGGATGGTAGTGAAACTGAAGAAGTTAACGAAGTAAGTAACTTGTAACAAAACAAAAAGTGTTTGTAAATTATTGTTCCTTTTCATTATGCAGATAAGGTAAAAAAATACTGATTAATATTTTAACAAATTAAGTAAAGGCCAAACGTCTTGCAACCGAAGAACCAACCCGAATGAATATAATACTTCGTATCCGTCAAGAAGATGGTGCTTCAATCAAGAAAAAGGAGCCTTCAACCAATATAACCAAGTACAATATAGAAGAGTCAATACCTGTCGAGGAATGCGAAGAAATGGATTATGTAAAAACAATAAAGTAACGTCAGCATATTTCAATTGTAATTTTTTGATTTAGCAAAATAGAACACCCATCCAATCTACAAATGCCAATGATAATGGCATAAACGAAGATAAATTAGAAATTCCTGATTTGACCGAATTTGATAGTAACCTGGATCCTAAAAAAATGTGGAGGTTAAAGAGTGGTACCGTTGTAGAAAAAGTGATATATGAATATGCACGAAACTTGACATATGAATCGTGCCTGCACTCATTCATGATGCTGACAGTCCTTATTTAGGGGTTAAAGCGGAGTATAATCACGTGACATCTAACCAATCAAATGATAGAATTTTGATGATCTCCGGCGAAGCAAAACAAGAAATAAAAACGAAAAACCTGAAAAATACAAAAAACGGCAGTCTAAACCTGCCTCAGGTAGGTTAATTGAAAATGTCGGGAAGGCAATTTTGCTAATATATAACTACCTAAAACCTAACCTAACCCCAATATCAGATGACCCTAACCCTAATGTTAATTCAATAAAATATATATTATAAGAATCTGCTCCGCTTTAGATGTCCCCATTTCAGTCAGGGATATTTCCATATATGGTATTTCCTGATATAGAAATGATATGCGATGTACAACGCTACCGGGATTTTCTAGAATCAAATAATTAAACTAAATCTGATTGGCTAAAATTTTTTTATAAATGCGAAAATCGAATGAAGCGAAACTTTATAGTTTTTATAACGGCCATAACGGCTGAATTATTACTGATTTGCGAATTACTATAGTTTGACTAGTATAGTTTATATGAATTGCCGGTAAAACGTTTTGTATAGACATAAGAATGAAGAAAATATCAAAAAGTTAAGTGTCGACGTGTGCATTTTCCCTTTTTTTTTTTAATGCCTTGTATTAAACGATTTTTTTAAGGTCAGATCAACGTAAATTATTTTCTATCTTATTTTCGTCGTCTTTTTCCTTTCTTTTTAGAAACAATTCTAGAAAGTATAGATAAGGTTATAGGCTACTTCTAAAAATTTAGTTACAGAACGTTCCAAAAAAAAAAAAACTAAAAAAATTTTCTAATTCTGCTCAAATCTCTTCAGAATTGAGAGGCAGTAACGTAAAACACGGAATCAAATTAGTCGGATCAAGTTTGAATAGCATCAAGCGACCTTTTCCAAAAAAAAAGTACCATCTTGAATACAGTCGTGCTTGGGTTATATCCCACTGTTATGCCCTACCTTAGTTATATCCTCATATTTGAGCGGAATAAATTTCTCTTTTTTTGTATATTTTATACATTAAACTATATTACACCTTAGGTATATCTTCAAAAATTAGAGAAAAAAAGGGTGATATTATTCAGGTATGATTGTATTGCATTTGGATTTTGGGAGATGTATTTTCAGTTTTCTATGCATACTAAAAATCGGTGACCATACATCTAATATTACGGGGCTACAAAAAAAAAAATGTCGCGGCTGAAGCATGAAATTTTAAATACTTTGATATGAAATTTTCAAAGAATTTTGGGGTGCATCTTTTTAGCTTTTTTTTTATAGTTAGCTTAGGATTTTGATAATTAAAATGTATAAGTGGATTTTGGTAGGGTTTACATTTTTAAATCGAGGTCCCTAATTTCAAGCTTCAGCCGTGACAAAAAATAATACTAAAGACTTTGGAATGTAGAAATGCTATCAAGCAGTTCTGAAATCAGAAAACACGAAGTATGAGTTTTAATCTGCTAAAAGTACAGAAGTATAGTTAATATAACCTTGATTTATTAAAATTAATATTTATTCATTTTAATTTTCTAGCTCTATCTCGTTTTCAAGATCATCATGATTCTTGTGTAGGTCTATCTCATTTTCAAGATCATCTTGATTCTTGTGTAGGTCTCTAATACTTTGTAAAATTTCTTGCAATTGGCTACAAGATTTTTGTTGCAAACCACGATAATTTGGACGATCGGAAAGATTGATGGAATTGAGTAATGAATCAATAATCGCTAAAAGCTCCTTTTTTGTCATATTTCTTCATTCAGAGCTGCTGCTTCTTCCTGAGCAGTAATAGGTATGGGCTGGAGTAATGAACTTGGCTTATTGTCTTTAAAGGTCTCGTTAATAAATGTGATTCGTCTTTCGTATGCCAAATCGCTAAAATTTTTCAACTGTTCACTAAGTAGATGTTCCTCTCCAAGGCTTTTAAAAATGCGATTGTTATCTTGTGGATTTAAAAATCTAGTTTTACACAAGTGAACTCGGAATCGTTGTAATTCTAATGTATAATCTGGACGTGACCGACAACCTGACGACTCATTATCTGTATGTCCAATCATCTTAAATAATGTGTGACGCAGCTAATTTTTATTTTAAAAATGCGTAAGTATATATATTTTTTAAAATACAAATATATTTTTTATTGACCTTTATGAACTTGGTACAATTACGTGCCGCTATTCTCCAATGCTTCTGTGAAAGTACGGGTGGAATTAAGGCCTTTAAAGACTTATTGACTTCTTCAAGAATAGCATCAAGACCTTGATGCTGATTGTGATATCCTGATCATAAAATAACCAAATATAATTCTATCCGTTGTTTAATTTCAGGATTTAATCGCATCATTTGTTCTTCATAGGTTATTTCAAGTAAACGATATATGGGATGCTTACGACCCAACCAAATTGGAGAAAACATACGTCGAGCAGCACTTGTCAACAATGGTCGATTATTTCTAACACCCGTGCAAAAATTAATGATTGCCTGCAAATAGATAAATGTCTATAATAATCGTTAGTATTGTAGTAAATTTTTTAGATATATTTAATATCATAAAAATCTCAAAATCTTACTTGCTCAAATTTTAATTTATATATATGATCATTTTGTTTTTTGGCCCAATCTAGATAGTCTTCGACTGAGGGATTTTCCGTCATAGTTACATATAGCCATAGTAATTCACACGTAATGGCGTATTAGTAAATATTGCAAATAGAGTCCCACGATTTGTGATGATCGGCACATTTTTAAAAAAACTAAGTTGGTTTTCAGTTCTTTATCCTTGAAGAATAGCAAATTGTTTTATGTCAATCGTCCTTAAAAAAAGTAAGCTAAAATTTTAGATCAAACAGTATTATTTATATTAATTTAATTATGAAAAATATTAATACCAGTTTAATTCTACGAATGCCCTAAGCATGTTCATTTCTTCATGCAAGGGCCCAGGAATCAATATAAGCCACGGAAAGTCTTTTCGAATCTTTTGAGCTAAAGTATAGGGAACACTATCACAAGTAACAGATAATCATTTTTGCGCTTTATTTATTTCCGTGATATTTTGTATATTCTCTAAAACTTTTCTAACATTAACGATTGAATTAGGGTTACATTCTAATGGATCTGGCACATACATTTCGGGAACAATAACACCGTGCTCAGGATTTGAATGTTGTATAATACTAATACAATCAAATTGTAGACTTTCTTGCTCTTGAGCATATGCGTGAGACTTTATTACGAGGGGTTTTGAGTGTTTTGGATTATTATCTTAAATATTTTCAGTAGCAGACTCTGCTTGTAAAGTGGCCAACATGTCTAATTTTTCATTACATTGAGGACAGTTATGTTTTTTATTATCTATATTAGTTGTATTGTATTTTTTGCACCACTTTGATTGACCTGCGACGCCCTTTTGATTTTTTGTAGCCGTATCGATAGTATTGATTTTCTTATTTTTTTCAATAACAAGCTCTTCTAAAATCGACGATAAGTAGATTTTTAGTTCTTGGTCATACTCTGCTTGCATTTTGAGTAAAACATAATATAATTTTTCATACTGGTTATCAGATATCGAATCACAAATCCATGGCGCAATTGTAAATTGGGCATAATCGTTTTGATTCATATTCAGTGCAATAAAACTTGTAACTGTATGATAGATAACTGTATTATGCCCACGATCAAGATAATTAAATTGACCACGTTGTTCATTGTCGAAGGCTAAAAACAAAAGTCCTTTAGGTAAGGGTTCATTTTCGACTGCTAATGATTCCAACCAATTAATGAATTTCATATAATCTTCAGAACTAATTATATGGTTATCAATGTCAATAATTGTCTTAGATCGTGCTAGCGAATATTTGATCCCTGTTATAGCTAAATTTATTTCTGATACGTAGTTTTTATGTCTCGATCCATATATAGCGTCGATAGCAACCATTTTTTTAAAAATCTTTTTATTTGAAGTATAATTATTACAACTATTATTATCATTACATGTAAGAACATTAATAAAATTAATAATTACTGGGTTGCGATTAGCTAACCAATTATTGGGAACAAAATCTAATAAATTATTAAGAGAAAATCGGTGCTTATTCAATATTAATGACTTGATATCGTCATAAACACTTTGGCGTTCTTGGTTGGCGATTTGAATAATGGAATCAATTCTTTTTTTTTGACTATTATACTGATTTTCCCATTCATATTTTAACGCGTTATTTTGTTCAGTTAGTTTTTTATTTACTTTATTTATTTCTTGGATATTATCCCAACTCTCTACTACATAATCGTATACATACTCTAACTGTTTGTTAAGGTCATTTATCTCATTTATTTTCGAATCTAACTCTAATTGAAATAAGCAAACATGATTTTCAAGAATATGCAACATAGTATCAAATGTTTGGATGCCGACCTCATGGGTCTCTTTATTAACTTGTACACCAACCTCGTTAGTTTGTGCACTAGCTTGTACCCCAATTTCACATGTATTTTCATCACAAGTATACTGCGTACGGGTCTGTCTTTCGCCAAATTCATTATCAAAATCATTACTATGTTTTTTTGGTTTTGATTATTTCTTGGATAATTGGGCAGATTTGAATTTAAAAGCATTTGGCACAAAAAATCAGATACAATTAATTGGTTATAATGCTTTTCACATAAAGAAAAATCTTCCAAATAAGTTTGAATTTGAACCAATTCTGGAAAAAAATTATTATACAATGGAAGACGATCTTTTGGTAAATTACTATCTGCATGCTGTTTTGTCTGTGAGCTCTTAGTTTCACACTCTAATAAACCGATATTATTATATAAAGGAACCAAAGTAGCAAAGGCGCAAGGTAAATCTTTCGCTCGTGATCGTTGGGAAGCCTCCACTAATTAAAAAAAAACTTAAGGTAAGTATCAACACTACCAATACTGATTTTAATATAATAAAGGTAATAAATAAATAAATTATTACATACTAGTCTGAATTATGTAATTGTCAAAAATTTTTATAGCGATGGTGAAAAAGGATTGTGTTCCAAAAGTATTTCCAAGCCGATATAATAAATCACGCAACACTAGTGATTATTAGGGTATATGTAATACCTGAACGATTATAATTAGTATTAATAAATGGAGTATCTTTCGTGTGAGATAATGAAATAAATTACTTACGTATGTTTTTTTTTTTCAATGCTAAAAATTCCTATGGATCGCTGGACTAGATCGGGCGAAGTTCACAATGGAGCACCAAAATACTGGAGCACCAAAATACCAACGTTGAATATAATATTAGAAGAGTGGGAGCACCAGGACAACGATGCAACGTAAAAACTAGCGTAGGTGCTAACTTTCAAATGTACTTATGAATAAAAAGGAAAAAAAAAAGTTTAATAATTTAACAAAATCCTGTGTTTTGCTATAGTTATAAACTTCCAACCTGAATTGATTTTGAGAAAATGTCTACTGATTATAAAACTATTTGATTCGAACCTCCTAATTTTATAAGGATTCGTTATGTTACAAGGCAATTTCGCGTAAATTTGTCATGTGAAACCTGTGAAAATGTTTAAAAATTCAATAAGAGTAGATGATCAATTTTCTAGATCATCATTTTTGTGTAACGTATCGTATTCTGGAATGATCTGCAATATATGCACCAAATATGGAAATATCCCTGACTGCATTTAGTAAAGAAGATTTTGAAGTTAAAAAAGATGCCAAATATTGATTCATCAATTATCAATCTTATGAAAAATTACTCAGTAACAGACTTATCCAAGTTTCGAAAAATTATTTTTGAACCCTTTCTACCCACCAGCACATCATATTCTAACAAGGAGCACTTTGATTTAAATTACATTAATTTCGCGTATAGAACTATGCATACGTTCTGGGAAGCTGGTGACAACTTTGCTCTGGACTCATCATAATTAGAAAGATGCTATCAGTTAAATATATGGGGCCCACTTATTGACTCTGCATTTCGTAATTTAAGTTTTAATTTAATACGGGTTGATGGGATGAGTAAAGCTTCAAGTGATAGAAAGAACCAAATCAACCGTGAAACGAATCGGAAGAAGATCGGAAGAAAAGGAGTTTTCACTGTGACGAACTTAACCCTTGAAACATTATGATGTTACGTATTGGTATTGAGTCTTTTACTGCAATGAATTAATTTGAACAGATATAAATCTTATATTACTAAAGCAATTTATAAGCCAAGAACGAGAGCTTCTCAATGTGTAAATTAAGCCGAATAAAAAATAATGACCTGATTTTTAAACAAAGATATTTAAATACGCTTATATTTATTGGTTCGATTTCAATCAATGCTAACTAAACGTTATTATAAAAGTATCACTAATCAGAACATTCTATTCTAAGTACGGAGAATCGGAATCATCAAGATTGTTGATGTTAGATCTACTCTCCTGAATTAATTCTAATGCCTGTGTAATAGTTGATCTTGCTCTTAATATATCTTTTAAAACAAATCCTAATAGTGGTTTATTTATATAACCAGTAATCTCCCGAAACTCATGATGCTGAATTCGACTGACATATCCCATTGGACTGTCCATAGTCAGAAGTTGTAGCTGATTTGCATCTCAACGGTTTGTAGATTTTTTCATCATTACCGCATTCGGTTGAAAGTTGAATTAACATATCATGAAGAATTTTACGTAATTTCAAGCTATCTCTAATATATTTTCTTCCATGTTCACCTTCCCACTCTCTTCCAGCTTCAATTGCACCAAATTCTAATCTGCTCCCTTTCAACCTAAATATTCCATCGTACGCGCGACAATTTGTCATGTTCATTTCACCAAGATTTATCATATGAGTGCTGGAGAAAAACCTGGAAGTGAATATTTAATGATCGGTGTTTGATTTTTTCATCTTCAACAGGAATCTAGAATCTAGATTCTTGGTATAAATGAAAAAAATCAGACACCGATCATCAATACCAATACGTAACTTCATGATGTTTCAGGGGTTAAGTTCGCCACAGTGAAAACTTAAATATTCACTTCCCATTTCACACCCTAAGAAGACGGCATGCAGAATCTGCGAAGCGCGTATTTAAAAATTTATTTCGCAAGATTTTTTATTTAAACATATGCGGATTCCGCAAACATAAAAAAAATTGGTTCGCAGATTTTCCGCACATTATATATTTTTTTATTCCGCAGATTGAATATTGGGTAAATTTACGAATATTTATTATAATTTTAAAGTTAATTCAAATTTTATAATTGTTGGGGATTAGAAATGTTATTCTTAATAATTTTGATGAATAAATACATTTGATTATTACTTAATGAATGGTTATTCATTAGATAAATTTTGGTTTTAAAAAAGCATATGAACGTCCTAGAAAAAAATAAATTTATTTAATTAAAATATAATGAAATAAAATTGCACAAAATAAATTTAATTAAATAAAAATTTATTTTCCGCAAATTAATATACTAATTCCGCAATTTTTATTTAAGTTTAAAATGTATTCCACATAAAATTTTAAAATCCAATTTGGATAGGATACGCTGCCAAACTTTATCGGTAGTATTTAAGATGATGCTTTGTTGGATTTCATTTTATAGATGAACTTCAAATACGAGAAATACATAAGTATAATAAAATATTAATGTGATCAGTCTCTTTGAAAATACATAAACGATAAATTTTTATAACCAGTATTCAGCAGTTAGTTCATATCTTGCGGAGCAGTAAAATATTTGAAGCACCAACCCACAGAGATAATGTAGGATGGTACTAACAAATATCCCATCATGAGCAACTGGTGGGTCAACTAATTTTGTCGAAGAGAACCTTCGACAAGAAAAGCATTCCTCGGTCGTTTCACATAATGTAGCCCCAAATCATCGAATGGATATAACAGGTGTCATCATTCAATATACTGTTAAATTACCAAATTTATGTGAATTAATACTTACATCTTTTGACCAAAAATAAGTCTTATGGAGAATGATATGACATCAAAATTCTCTTGTTGCTACTTCTGAAAACAAAATTGAAGAAAAAATAAATAAATGAGTTGCTATAATAAAGGAGTAATTATTTAAATGCTAAACGCTAGATCAGAATCAATATATAATCAAGATATAAATTCATTTGAAACACGGATTGAATTTTTTCAAAAAACATCATATCAACTCCTCAATTAAAATACGGAATTCAGACTCTTACCACAGATCCCAGTTAGTATTTATGATTTTATTTACGTTACGGTAATTTCTATGAGTATTCTAGACAGGGAATGATAGTTAAACGATGTTAATAGAGCTAACCTTACATTAATACAATATAAAATAAATTTACAGATCAGACAAAATTCCATATCTTTCATTAATCTCAGAAGCAGAACTGGTAATAATGGGTGTCATCATGTAAAAACAACAGCAAAAAATATTTATGACAGAACAAATTTTTCCTTTGATAAATACCTTCCATTAAAGTGCCAAATAAGAGCCTATAAATCAAGAATTACACAATGAGATCTTGTGTTGTGTAGCATAGAAATTTAAAATTTTAAAATTGCTCAGATGGTAGTGCATGTTTTAGTTGCGGATCACTTCGTTCTTTAAACATCACCAAACAGTATATTCAAATGTCATCATTGAAAAACGCATCTATTAGTCAGAAATAAAATACTTACAATTGAAGCATGGATACCATAGTAAAACTTTGAAGTTATATAAAATTGTATTATATTAACTGTAATATAACTTGCGAGATTAATATCACTAAAATGGTTCCGAGATGTGTTTTGCACGAGATAAACCCAGCGTATATGTGTGTTGCAGAGTGAAACCCCGTAACTGATCATAGTAGATCATTAAATACAGCTACAGGTTTCGCTCTACAACACTCATGTCTCACATATCGCGCGACTTGCGCGAAATGCTTATATAGACCTCCCATGAAACAAAAATCGTAATTTAACACATTACAGTCGACTCTGGACATAATAAAAAGTGCCATGGGTTCTTAAGAAAATATGGGAGTGAGTCAATAGAAATCAAGCAAATTATTTTTATTGAATTTTTTTTAAAATTTTACACACCAATAACTTAACCAAAACTTGATCAAATTTAATAAATTTTTTTATATAAGTTTGTAGAAAAAAATTTAATTAAATTTGATTTTGTTGAGTTATTGTTGTTTAAATTTAAAAAAATTTACTTAGAAAAAATTTGCTTGATTTCTACTGACTCAATCCCATATAGTAATTTTCTATAACGAACGTTTTTCTCCCAGAATTTTCAGTTCGTTATAGAAAGAGTTAATTGTATATACAGTTTTTAGTGACAAATTACATTAAATTTATAACGTAAAATCCACTGGTTACTGTGATTTTACTAATTATCAAATTCAATCTCGAGCAAAGGCATCTTGAAATAAACGAAAAAAAAAAATTCATTTTAGGTGATTATTGGTCACGACTATGTGTATTACTTGATAACTGATTTCAGCGTCCAATTGGATGATTATATCGATACCGGCATCGACAGAATTTTATTTACTCATTCCTGAATTTGATGTTAACTGGATATCATTTCATTGAAATTGTTTTTGGCTCCTGTAACTTTCGGATCTCTGTGCTCAAGACATCTCTGATTTTACGCTAAAGGTTGGTTGTCTCGATGAAGTGAAGAGTGACGAATTTTGATGCAAGTTTCACCTAACTCAAACGCTTCTTTTTCTATTATAAAGAAGATAAAATTGAAATTTACGTATTTCAGTTGAGTAACTTTGGTTTACCATGGCCGAAGAGAATAGCACTAATACTCCTTCCGATGCAACTTCCTCGAAGCCAAAATCAAAAAAATATCGAAAAGACAAACGTAAAAATAGATTTCCTGCTTATTCACTATTTGTTTGACGAAATTATTATAAACTAATAAATATATCACAATAAATTTAGCTTGGGATAATGAGGATATAGATCATTGGAAAATTGATCCATTTACCCGGGAGGACAATCCGTACTCTTTTACAGAAGAATCATCTTTTGCAACCCTATTTCCAAAATATCGGGAAAATTATTTAAAAGAAGTATGGCCGCACGTCACGAAGGCTTTAGAGAAAGTGGTATTTATTTTCAACATTCATTATTAACGCTTCAAATTATGAATTCTCAACACTTCACTCTGACCAAAATTTAGGGTATTGGATGTCTATTAGATTTAGTCGAAGGAAGTATGACCGTAAAAACAACTAGAAAGACATTTGATCCATACATAATACTCAAAGCGCGTGATCTGATAAAATTGTTGGCAAGAAGTGTCCCTTTTCCTCAGGTATTCTTCGGAATGTGCAAACAGAAACGATTTTTTATTTCAATGTGAAATTAAACTTTGGTACGAATATATCAGGCAGTTAAGATTCTTGACGATGGTGTATCATGTGATATTATCAAAATTGGAAATATGATTCGAAGCAAAGAACGTTTTGTCAAACGTAGACAAAGATTGATTGGACCAAATGGTTCAACGCTAAAGGTATAATCTTCTCCAATTAAATAAACAATTATGAACTTTAAACTAATTTAAAATATTACTTCAACCTTAGGCGATAGAACTATTGACTCAGTGCTACATCATGGTACAAGGAAATACTGTATCTGCCATGGGTTCATATAAAAGCTTGAAAGAAGTAAGAAGAATAGTAATTGATTGTTTAAAGAACGTTCATCCTATATATCACATTAAAGTAAGTATTGAATTTATTATTATTATTATCATATAAACCGAATTCTAACTGGTATTATCAATTAGGAATTAATGATTAAAAGAGAACTCGCCAAAGATCCAAAGCTAAAAAATGAATCATGGGATAGATTCTTGCCTCATTTCAAAAAACAAAACGTTAAAAGACCTAAAAAACAAATCAAGAAGAAAGAATATACACCATTTCCTCCTCCACAAACTCCGAGAAAGGTAACTTATTATATTTTAAACTTTATTTCAAATCAATAGGCTGACATATTTTTTCTTGCGAATTTAAGATTGATTTGCAATTGGAGTCTGGTGAATATTTCCTTAAGCCTAAAGAAAAGGCAGCTCGTGAAATGGAGAAGAAAAAGGTAAATATGTACACTCTCAGATATACTTTATTATTATTATTTTTTTTTATTAATCACTTAAAAATGATTACAGGAAAAACGAAAGGAAAATACTCTAAAACGGAAAGCAGAAAGAGAAAAAGCTTTTATTCCACCTGTAGAAGATGTCCCAAAAAGAAAGAAACGAAAGGCTAAAACTGATTCAAGTCAATGTGTGGAATAAATTGTGTTAATTTATTCCACAGATCAACTCGACTCAGTTTTGCCTTGGATGGCAAATGATATTTTAAAAAAACATGATTGTTTGTTTAAAACATTCTGATTTAATTATTGCTATGGTGCTCCAAGTCACTTCTCATCAAAAATCATGCATTTTTTAAGAAATCTATAAAATCTTAAGTTTTAAATATTTTTTAAAAATATAACCGATAAAAATCATTGTTTTTCACTAGTTCTATCCAAATTATTGGTCAAAAAATTTAAAAAGTTTAAAATTTAAAGTTATAAGTGCTTGAAGCTACTATGTTTTCAAAATTTTGGCATTTAATATAAAAAATTTAAAAATTTTTTTTAAAATTTTTTTTTTATCCAATCAGAATTAGTATATAATACATTCTGATTGGCTAAAAAGCATTTATATAGACTCAAATTTGGCGCATTTGATGTGAAGTAACTTGGAGCACCATATCGTAAATTACGCAATTCATTATAAAAAAAGTATTTATTATGATTACCAGTATTAAAAAAATAAACTGTTTGTTATCATAAGACCACCTTTTAAAAAAATCCGGTCAAATTTCACAAATTGAAAAACAAAGTGTATTCACTGTGAAAAGGATTCCATTAATTTAACTAGTCGACTAAAAGTGCACCTATTAAAATATAATAGGCTTCCAAAAAAAAATATCAGTATAATGGAACTTGGCTGATACAAAAATCAACCAACCAGAATAATTTCAATTTCAGACTCCAGTGGTTTGTCATCACATATAGTTTTAGGGATAGGGTGCAATTTTAAAACATCAGCTAAAATGATCCAAATTTTAGGTTACATGAGGTTTTCAGGGGTTCTGAACATTTTTACTTAGTACATCGGAATGCATCGGAATCCAGGTTTAATGATTTACTAACTTGTACTCTATTTTCTATTATAACCACGACCAATTCGGTACGTTGAATGGCCGGAAACTCTTGGTAAGGTAATCTACTGCTTAATTTCAATACCACGGTCTAAACCAGAACACAAATATCGAAGTCACGTACACACGACAATGTCGTACGATAGTCCACCACCACCACTATACTTAATGACGGGACGGCCAAAATAACAGTTTATGTTAGTAGAGTGTGGGTTAGTTTATAATTACTTTGTATAGGACAGAATGTAGTAATTATAAGGTTGTTGTATTATGAAGCACCAAAGACTTAAACTTTATTATGGACGGAGAGCCTGAATATATATATTTTTTATTACATATAGCGGATCTATTTAATAAAACTAATTTATGCCATATCTTTATTTTATTCGATAAAACTAATGTATCCCGTATAACCCATAAACCTGCTTTCTCCAATTTCTCTAATAACACTAATAAATCGAATATATAAGTTATTCGATATATCTAATATATCACCGGGAAACCTCTTTTGGAATAAGATCGTTATACCGATCGTACGGCGATCACGTGCCGACGTTTGCGCTACAATTCGTTTTCAGGTATTCATTTATATAATCAATATCCGCCTATATAAGAGTAAAATCGAATGAGAAATAATTTATATTTTACAATAAGCATAAAAAACAAACAACATAAAATAGTAGATGCAAAAATATATTAACAAAGAAGTTTTGTTATATAAACAAAGATACGTAACCAAATTCCTCTTTCAGAATTCAGTAGAACCTTTTGGCCGAAAAATATATGTAACTGATCCCTTCTCCTCCCACCGCATTATCAGTTACCTTTTCAGCACAATTTACATAACAAATTTTCTTTTAGTATTTGCAGGAGTAAATACAACTCCGAACCCTGTTAGACGTATCTAGCAGGTACAAATACTAGTATATTTCAACTACCATCAAATTATTTATCTATAAAACACTTACTTTTCTATTTAAAAGGTTTTGTATATTCACAAAATAAAAAAAAAAAAAAAAAAACACAAGAAAAAAATTCAACATGTTAAAGTTGAAAAAAAAATTCTAACACGTAAAAGTTTGTTTTGATCATTTGACATTAAGATCAGGTGAGTATCATTTATGATAGCCAATCAGGGTTGGTGTAAACAAGGCGGGCGCAGATCTAAATCTATCTAAATCCGGAGGTCGTCGAAAATTACATATTGATATTGATTTTTGATATATTTTTATAAACCACTAACGGACACGGCTTTAAATCCGGAGTTCGATTCATTACTAGATCCTTGACCATCGCACTAGAGTTATTACCCGGGTCACGGGTCGAAATTTACTCTAACCCGGGTCAAACGGGTCAGAATTCAAAACACGCAAAAACCTACTATAATGCTACTGTATATTACGCAATTTACCTAATATAAGAAGATATTATGTTATATACTACATAAATAGTAAAGCCCTTACCCGTGTCGTCCGATCCGTGTGGGTCGGCTTCTTGACAGTCACGTATTTACGAAGTAGAAAATGAACGAACTCAAATCGCGAGCAAGGTCGAAAAATTTTTCAA